GCGATCACAAGAGTTCGAATATAGGCTAATCGCTGAAGCCTTCCTCGCCGACCATAGGAGGCATATTCCAGAATGTAAACTCGACGATAACGCGCGCATGCCTCACACCAGACCCTTCGTGAGTGTCTAACCCAGGCGTTGCTAGAACCTCCAAGTCCCAGCTCGCCGCCGCCGCCGCCCGCATCGCTCACGAGATCGGACACGTCAATCTGGTCGTGGCCAACGCGGGGGGCACGGGGCCCGACCTGGCCGGTTTCCTGCCCGTGTCGCCCACGGACGAAAAACCGTCACCGGCGGAGCTGCAGCGCCACATATTCGAGCACTGGGGCGAGGACCAGTTCGGCCGCGTGCTTGAGGTCAACGCGCAGGCGCCCTTCTTCACCGCCGTCGCGTTCCTGGACCTTTTGGACCGCGGCAACAAGGCCGGCAATTTCCCGGGCGTGTCGAGCCAGGTCGTCGTCACAGCCAGCGTGGGATCGTACGTCCGTGCCGTGCTGGGCAAGGGACAGATCCCTTATAACGCCAGCAAGGCGGCTGTGAACCACATTTTCAAGATGCTGGGGAATCTGTTTTTGGGGTATGGGATTAGGGCTAATATATTGAACCCGGGTGTTTTTCCGAGTGAGTATTTTCTATTTCATGCTAGCGAAGCAAGAAAGGCAGGGGAGGTATTTGGGCTGACATAGACACAAGGCGAAATAAGCGCAAAGTTCGTCTTTGACGGCAAGACGTTCCCGTCGGCATTCATCCCCGCGGGCCGGTTCGGGGACGAGACCGACATCACTGGGGCGACCTTGTTTCTCTGCTCCAGGGCGGGCGCATATCTCAACGGCTTATCGCTGTTGATGGATGGTGGGGTCCTCACTATGGTTCCGTCAACATACTGAAAGACTAGTGAATACTGGGATACTGGGAGCAGGTGTCTCTGGTGACGGCCAAACGGCATCAGGTCTATTTCTATTATCTCATTATGCAATAAGAACATTAAACAGGGACTTCTCTTTCCCCCTCATCCATCCCGCTCCGGAATGTCCCGTCTCGCTCGTCACCGCACCCAACCCTTGATCATTAACCTCCACAAAGAAAGCCCTCTAACCGAGCCTGGCAGGGGTGTAGCTCTGGTCCGGAGTGACCGCCTTGCCGTTGACCAGCTGCTTGTCGGTGTAGGCGGGCCAGGCGATGAGGCGGTTGACGTTGTCGACGACGGCAAAGGTCGTGAAGCCCTGGTCCTCGCCGAACTGGCCGCTCCACGACGACGACACGGTGTAGTTGCCGCAGGTCACGCCGGCCGAAGGGGCGCGCGACGCCTTGCTGGCGGCGTCGACCTTGAAGGAGCAGGGCGTCTCGTTGGCGCCCGTGTCGATGGTGAAGCTGACGGCGCACGACGTGTCGGCGTCGTTGCAGGTGCGCTTGAAGCTCTCGATCGTCCACTGCGCGTCGTTGGCCATCTTGGACACGGCCAGGAGCTTGCTGGCCGCAGGGGCGGGGGCGGCCGAGACGACGGCGGCCAGGAGGGTGAAGATCGCGGCGGTGGTGAACTGCATTTTTGTGGTTTTGGTGGAGGACTCGGGAGAGTGATGGCGAAGGAGTAAATTAATGGTTTTATATAGAGAGAGATGATTGATATTAAGATTCCGGATAGGGTTTGATCGGGATGAGGATGGAAAGAAGAATACGTCTGTCTGTCGGCAGGAAGCCATCGTCTTTATACACGCTGTTGCTACCCCTTGCTGCCCCCTTCCCAAGTGACGCCCCTGCAGAGCCGCGCTATCATGACAACTCCCTTTCCCAACCGCGCGGGCCGTTGACTGCCAAGTGCCCCGGAGTTCGGCGGGGGATCCCCCGGTCAAGGTGCCGGCACCCCGACGGCTCCCCCTGCTCCCTCGGCTCGTGTCCATGGCGCTGCTTTGAATACGACGGGGTTGGGGAAATTGATGTGCGGTGTGCGCGCGTACCCGGCTCCGCGGTGGAGCACTCGTATCCAAAAATACTACGGTACTATAGTATAGTGGGTTTGGGTGCTAGCGGGGTCGGCATCTCCAGGCAAGGGCCGTCGTGAAAACGTCATTGCCCAGAATTTCTGCCTTTTTCTTCGTAACGTTTTCTCGTAAACACCGCCCGCCATTTGGTAATTCCACCACTCAACTCGTATGGGTGCTAGTTGGAAAAAGCAAGTTTCCTCTCGTTCCAGAAATTTCTCCGTGGATTTTTAAAATTGGCTGTGATGCAATACAGTGTTTCCTATAAGTACACCCCTGAATCCAACCATGAGCCACCTACCCAAAAAAAGTTGGAGTGGCAACTGACTTCTCCAAACCCCCATATGACAAACTCCCACATGATGAAGAAGTGAAACAGAAGGGCAGCTGTCTATAACCGAGCACATGTGCTTTTGATCTTTTTCCTCTCTTAACAGCTTGGCTCGATACCACCGTCAGGAGAACTCTCCCATCAGAGCAGCTCAGGGGTAGTCGCGCCTGGCCCCAACGATGGCATTGAGCAGGGCAGAGCCGTGCGACAGCACCGTGTTCTGCGGGCTGCCGCCGACCAACACAGCGTACTGGTAGCGCCCATCAGACTCGGGGATCCAGATGGGCCCGCCCGACTGACCGCCCGCCGCGTCGGCATCGGACAGCAGGGCTCCTCCCTCGCTGCTGCCGCATCCGGGGGCCTTGCGGACCTTGAAGCCTGCACGGATTAAGCGACTCTAGTATTAGCCTTTTTGTGTTCTAACAGGTTGAAAGGGGAAAGGGCAGGAGGGAAAAAAGCACATACGGTTCTGCGCATAAGGTCCCGAAGGAGACTTGTCACCAGGGTAGCCGTAGTTCCACCAGTCGGCGCTGGCGCCCGACAGGCTGTCGGGGAACGTCTTGAAGCCGAGGTATCCGTTGCCGGGGTCCTTGTTCAGGATGAAGAGGGCCCAGTCGTCCTTCCAGCCGCAGCCGCCGTTGTCCTCGTTCTTGCCGGGGATGCGGATGATGAGGGTGGCGAACGCGGTCGGGAACCGGTCGCCGTTGTAGTAGGCCGGCGAGAAGGTGTAGGACGCGCCGTCGACGATGCAGTGGCGCGCCGCCAGGAGCACGCGCGCGCCCACCATGGAGGCGGAGCAGATGTAGTTGCCGTTGGGCGACTGGATCAGGAGCCGCCCCATGGCCTTCCAGGGGTACGTGGTGTCCGTCTTGAGGACCCGGTCGTCGGCGCCGAAGACGTCGCGGCCCTCCAGGCCCGCGGCGTCGGCGGGCACCATGTCGGGA